AGGGTTGTTAGTGTTAAAGTTTATTAGCAGTTATTTGCATTTCGTCTCGTTTAATTGAAACTTATCCTCGGTCGCACTGCTTGCTAGGGTGTCAACAGCAGCTTGAATGCGACTGTGTTGGTTCTTGCTTATCGTCTCCGAAATGGTGGTATCGTCAACATACTTCCAGAGATCGATGCCAGGAACATCCAGCTCGTTGATAATGATAATAAACAGCCACGGCCCCAGTTTTGTACCTTGAGGAACCCCCGCTGGTACCGCGCCCATTCTGAGAAGCAGTCGTGGCCGAGTTTAACACGCTGTTTGCGCGAGGTGAGAAAGTCGATAATCCATGAGATGACAGCATTGGAGATGTTATATGTACCCAGCTTCTTGACCAAAATATGGTGGTCGATTAGGTCAAAGGCTTTTTTAAAATCGAAGAGAATCACCCTCACAGACGCCCTGTTACCGTCAGTAGCACTGTACCAGGCATGAGTCAAACTAATTAGGGCTTCGGTGGTGCTTGAACCGGGAACAGTGCCAAACTGCCGAGGGTCGACCTTAGCGAGTACAGCTGGTTTAACATAACGATCAACCACGAAGTCCTCAGCCAACTTGGAAAAAACAGGTGTAAGTGAAATTGGTCTCAGGTGTTTGTTAACGTCATAAACAGGGGTCTGCTTAGGAATAGGGACGACGTTGGCGAGCGTCCAGGACTGGGGGACACGAGGCTCCAAGTAGGAGCTATTAAGAATATCAGTAACAACAGGAGCCAATAGGTTCGCGTTCTCTTTCAAAAGCCAGGCGGGCACGAAGTAAGGCCCAGAAGCTTTGGCAGGATTAAGAGCGACGAGCTTCTTCAAGACACTGAACTCAGTAACCGTTGGCGTTTCGGTGTATTGCACAGACAGACAGACAGACAGACATCTATATTTATACAGGATAGCCCCTTCAGTGTAGTGAACACTAGTATCAACGGGGGTCCTGTTACCCACCTAACCCACCCCAGGGAGGACATCCATCACACAGTAATCTCGTGCGTGGGAAATTAACGTCTCCTACCCCAACCCTGCAGGAGACGGGACCTCCATTTATTCGTCCCTATCCGAGAAGACTAGAATATCTAACCATTTCTTGATGTTAAAGAAAGGAAGCATATTCTTCTCAGTTAATTTTAAGACCCTGAGTGTTGGTCCGGCCGGTATTGAACTCTCGACCTCCCGCACAGCAGTCCGGTGCTCTCCCAATTGAGCTAACCAGGCGGCGGTTAGCAAACGAGACTCCAGAATCCAGTGGAGTAAAAGAGTTCATTGGAGCAAGAAAGGCATTGTTAATGACGTTAGCCATGGCCGTACGACTAGAGTCAGGCCCTGTATCAATATGCTTCAGGACAGAGGTAGGATCTGTGCGCGTAGCTGATTGCATCCCGCCAAGTGATTTAACTTCTTTCCACCACCTACGCGGTTCGTAGTCCCTCAGATGTTCGACTTTGGACTCATAGTATTTAGCGCGACAAGACTTCCGCAAGCGATTAACGCGGTTCCGAAGGCGGCGGAAGCAATCTTTATCGCCACGAGCAAGGGCTATTTGACACTCGTGAATTAAAGATTTCAATTGTTTGCTAATCCATGGTGGCTCGTTGGCAATGATCGTCTTGGATTTAAGGGGGAGAACGGAATCCAAGCCCGTCTTGATTATGGTTTCAAGCGCGAGTGTTTTCTCTTCGCATGACTCTTTGCATCTTACCGGACGATCAAGGTCGACTTCATCGAGGTAAGTCCGCATGGCCAGACGACTTGTTGTCCGTAAGTCTCTGGATTTCAGCAGGATTTTGTTCCTCGGACCATGCCATCTAGCCAGAGGCTGTGCTTCCACAGTATCGTGGTCGGAGAGCCCAAAAGGAGGCAACCTTTTGGGCACATCGTAAAAGGCGCCGAGATTGGGGAAGACTAGATCTAATTTACTTTGCCCACGAGTTGGAAAAGGGACAATTTGGCGGAGATCCAAGGCGTTCCTTATACGAGAGCAATTTAACTTGTTAAAATTCCCCAAAAGAAAGAGGCCACAGTCAGGAAAAATGGCTTCGATTTTTGATAGTGACTCGTACAAGTAATTTAAAATCAAGTAGTCGGTTGCACTCGGCGGATGGTAAATAGTTCCAACAATAATAGATGATATGCCCCTAGGGAGCCGTTTGGGGCGGATTTTAACCCATAAAACTTCAAAATTCTCGTCCATAAGGTCGGATAGAACATCAAATAGGATAGAATCGCGGACGTACATGCAAATGCCTCCATGATCACTAGTTACCCTGTCTCTGCGGATGATATTGTAGCCCGGAACCAACACGAAATTGTCATCAATGTGGCTTTTGAGCCATGTTTCCGAATGGTCACTCGAACTTCGTCAATCTTTGGTGAGAGAGACATCACATTTGAGAGAATAAACGGCACAAACGAGTAAGCAGAGCCAGATTCCAAGGGGGCTTCGAGACGAATAACCTTGCAGTTAGCAGGAATATGTCCCGAACTGGACGCCGTGAATTTAGTTTTACGGCTCACTGGTCTTGACTTTGTAATGGTGGTTATAATATGGCGCTTGTAAGTTTCTCGTTCTTTAACTTGCTTGCCTGCTCGCTTTCCTCGGTAACGGGGCTAAACTTTCTCCTCTAGAACATCATTGTTAGGAAAAGATGAGGCTTGCATCATGTCGATGAGGTAAAATAGCGAAATAAAGATAAACAGTTTAAAAATATGCGGAGCTGTGAAAGCCATGTGCAGCCGTGAAAGGCGCATACATTATTACAATACGAGAGT